AAAAATTTTAAATATAATGCTACGGCATTTGGAAAGACAATGGGAAAATTTGCTCCATAATCCTAATTGATCACAACATTTTAATGCTAAACATGATCAATCACTTAATTAAGCATAATTAAATGCTTAATTATTTAATTAAACATAATGTTTAATTACCAAAATTATTCCGAACGTAAACGGAACGTCGAAAATAATTCCGGGTAATCTCGACTGAAAATAATTAATTCCGAAAATAATAATCGACAACGTTATTATATCGGAACTAAAACATGATTTATATTAATAATCTGACGGGATATTACACAGTGGGGATTCATCAAAGGCACCGAACAAAAACCCCAGCCTAATGATCAAATCAACCTTCTCAAATGGGAAAAAGAAGATATGACGGTTTTTTCATCGATTCTGAACAACATAGAGCCACAGCTAATGCATAATCTCGCTGAGTATCAAACATCAAGGGCCTTATGGGAGGCACTGCAGTAACCTATGGGGCAGGGACAAATTCATTTCAAATCTACCATCTACAGAATGAAGCTGCTAGACGGGTACAAGAAAATCAGACACTTGAGGCGTACTGGAATGACCTCCAAGGCCTATGGTTGGCTATTGACCGTCGCCGACCAAACCCCATGACTGGCGACAACAACATTATAGCATACAACAAAATTACCCAAGAAAACAGACTGTTTAATTTTTTGGGTGGACTGAATGGTGACCATGAAAGTATCAGACGAGAAATTCTCCGGGAAGACCCATTTCCCTCAGTGGAGGCCGCGTACGAAAAAGTTCAGAAGGAGGCCGCCCAACACCGAATTATGACGCCGGCAACCAGATCTGGTCCCGTCGCAGCCTCTCCATCATCGGGAACAGAAATTGGCATGGGATTAGCATCAAAAAAATTTCCGACCGACAGAATACCGGCGGAGGCCCGAAAAAATTAGACAAATCGAAACTCTTTTGCACCCACTGTAATAGATCAAAGCATACAAAGGAGACCTGTTTTTTACTGGTCAGATTTCCCGAATGGTGGGAGGATGGCCATAAGCCGGGGAAGCCCAACAATTTGAAAGTCGCCGCGGTGACCGGAATCACAGAAATTGCAAACTCCGGCGGCAGCTTCGGAATGATGGCAGCCATGAGCAGCGGAGATGGGGTGCATACTGGGACGATAACACCGGCATAGTGGGCGGCCGTGAGGTCACCAGCACCGGCGGCGTTGAACGGACCAGAGACAGCGGCAGGAAAGGGCGCCGACACAAGCAGCGGCGGCACAGGGTGTCAGGTAACGAAGGGCTAGGGCTTAATCCCTTCCCTTCATTCTCCCTTTTTAATAATAAAGCTGATTGTGTGAATAAAAAGCCATGTTTGCCCTTAGCCCATTTATCTCTTAAAGAAACAGATTGGATTTTTGATTGTGGGGCTACAGACACAATGACATATGACCCTAATGATTTAAAAAAAATTAGCCTTGCAAAAATGAAAAAATTTCACATAGCTAATGGGGGAGTATCAAAAGTTAAGGGGGAAGGGTATACTCAGATTTTTCCAAATATCAATTTAAAGTGTCTTTATATTCCGAGTCTTACGTGTAAGTTATTATCTGTTAGCCAAGTTACTAGAGAGTACAACAGTAGAGTCGCTATGTACTCTGGTTTTTGTATATTACAGGACATTCTTACACAGGAGATAATTGGGCGTGGTACTGAACGCGGTGGTTTGTATGTTGTGGATGATATCAGCCGAGAGGGCACGTCCCAACTAGCTCATGGCTCCAGTAATAGACAATTATGGCTTTGGCACCAACGTTTAGGTCATCCGTCCTTAGGATACTTAAAGTCTTTATTTTCGTCTTCATTTTCCAATAACACTACCATGACTTGTGATACATGTATTCTAGCTAAAAGTCATAGGTCTAGTTATTTACCTTCTAATACCCGCATTGATACACTGTTTGGTTTAGTTCATGCTGATGTGTGGGGTCCAGCGCCCCATACAACCACAATTTTTAATCATTTTTTTCTCCTAATCGATGATTGTACCCGCATGTCGTGGGTCTTCTTTTAAAAAACAAATCCGAGGTCTTTGACAAAATTGTTTCTTTTTCAAAAATGATTGATAATCAGTTTCAAACACAAATTAAGATTTTTCGATCAGACAACGGGGGGGAATTTGTAAATCAGGCTTTACAAACTTTTTTTCAAGACCACGGGATAGTTCATCAAACCACTTGTCCACATACTCTTCAACAAAATGGGGTCGTCGAACGTAAGAACCGAAAAATCCTAGAAATGACTCGAGCCATCATGATTGAGTCCCAAGTTCCTACCCAATATTAGCCTGAAGCCATAGTGACTTTTGTTTATTTGAAGAATAGATTACCTACCAGGATTCTTGATATAGAAACTCCTTTGAACTTCCTTTCTCAAAAAACCGAATTGCCCCCTAGCCTTACCCTACCTCCAAAAGTTTTTGGCACCACCGTGTATGTACAAGTACCTAAAGCCACTCGTACTAAGTTTGATCCTTGTGCCATTAAATGTATTTTTGTGGGTTACGCCACTCATGAAAAGGGATACTGTTGTTTTCATCCTCCAACAAAACGCATGTATGTCTCTATGGACTGCGACTTCGTTGAAACTGAGTTCTGCTATTCTAAACCACTCAAAAATCAGGGGGAGATATCTTAGGAAAATGATTTTTTGAGTTGGTTGATATCTTCTCCCTCAGAGGAAAACCAGACACCAGGAGACACTACTACACAAACCAACGCGACAGTACCAACTCTTGACACTCCTATGTTAGAAGACAACACCGAGGTACTCAATCTCCATTCCTCTGGTGATGTCCCGTCCGGTAATATTTCTACTGATGTTGTGCCTAGTGATGATGAACAGATACAATCCAATGATGGCGAACAGGTACAAATCAGTGAACAGATACATGAAACAATGGTCGAAGGTCTTCGATACAACCTCAGAAATGATGGCAAAGGCGTACCAAAGAAGCAATATTCCCCAGTTCATCTGCCACGACAATCCAGATACCCAGTGGGTAAACTAGTCAGGGGGAGTGTATCAAATCAAGCCAACGCATTTGCAATCACCCTAACCTCGGAGGATATACCCAGGAACGCCGAAGAAGCACAAAAAAGAAAACAATGGAAACAGGACATGAATGAAGAGTTGAGTGCTCTGGAAAAAAAACAACACTTGGGAGATATGCGAACTATCGATAGGAAAAAGGCCAGTGGGATACAAATGGGTATTCATGATCAAGTATAAAGCAGACGGAACGATAGACCGATACAAGGCGAGGCTTGTTGCTAAAGGATACACTCAGACCTACGGCATCGACTACAGCAAGACTTTCTCTCCAGTGGCAAAAATAGACACCATCCGGATTCTATTCTCAGTTGCAGCAAACAAGGATTGGCCGCTACACCAATTTGATGTGAAAAATGCTTTTTTGCATGGTGACTTAAAGGAGGAAGTCTATATGGTGAATCCTACAGGGTCCACTCTAAGCAAAGTATGCAAGCTAAAGAAGGCCTAGTATGGGTTAAAACAGTCACCAAGGGCTTGGTTTGGGAGGTTTACAGTGGCTATGAAAAGAAATGGGTACAAGCAGAGTAACGCAGATCACACATTGTTCTTGAAGAAAAGAGGGGATAAAGTTACATGCCTTATAATTTATGTCGACGATATGATCCTGACTGGGAATGATGAAGAAGAAATCCAGAGTTTAAAAGGGAGACTTTTTTCCGAGTTCGAGATGAAAGATCTAGGCGGGCTGAAATATTTTCTAAGGATAGAAGTTCTACATTCCAAAAAGAGGATCTTTATATCCCAGAGGAAATACATCCTGGATTTGTTAGCTGAAACAGGAATGGTAGACTGTAAGCCAGCTGAGACATCCATGGTAATGAATCATGGGTTGCAGATTACTAAAGATGAAAAACCAGCAAATCAAAGTCAATATCAGAGACTTGTAGGGAAGCTGATCTACCTTAGTCACACTAGACCAGATATAACATACGCAGTTGGAGTTGTGAGCCAGTTCATGCACAGTCCTCAAGAAGATCACATGGAAGCCGCAATGAGGATAGTCAGGTATCTAAAGGGAACAATTGAAAAAGGGGTAATCTTCAGAAGAACGGGGAACTTAGAAGTCATGGCATACACAGATGCAGACTGGGCAGGGAATCCAAATGACAGAAGATCCACCTCAGGTTATTTTACTATGATTGGGGAAAATCTTGTAACATGGAGAAGTGAAAAACAGAATGTGGTGGCACTGTCAAGTGCTGAGGCAGAGTTTAGAGGAATTTCTCGAGGAATCACAGAAGTCCTATGGATCAGGAAGTTAATGCAAGACTTGGGATTTCCACTACAGAAGGCATGCAAGATCTTTTGTGACAACAAGGCTGCTATAAGCATCTCAGAAAATCCAGTCCAACATGATCGCACTAAACACGTAGAATTTGACAGACATTTCATCAAAGAGAAGTTAGAAGAGGGTCTCATTGAACTTCCGTTTACTCGATCAGAGGACCAATTGGCCGACATCCTTACAAAAGCTGTCAACTCTCGATGTTTTGCTACAGTATTGAGCAAGTTGGGTATTGGTGATCCCAATACTCAACTTGAGGGGGAGTGTTAGAAAGGGAAGGATTTCCTTAATTAAGGGAACCATCATCTCCTTAATTAGGGACTCAAATCTTTACCTTAAATAACAAGTGATTCTAGCCCTTCATTAGAATGGAAAAGATTTGTAAAAGATTTGAAAGCTTTGTATAAAAAGCCACTGTAACCAGAGAAATAAAAATAAGAAAAACAAGAGTTCCCCTCCTGTGGATGTAGATCACAATGATCGAACCACGTAAAACTTTTGTGTTGATTTTCATTTCTGTTAATACACCATTGATAACACTAGCTTTTATCCGTTTGCCTTTATGTTTTTGTGCATGTCATTAAACATCTTTTAAAACTTTGCAGCCTGGAAGTTCTCCTTCACGAGCGTACGAAGCGCCTACTCCTGGTTCTGGTTGGACAAATGCTCCAAATAACAATTACAACGATGCGGGCACGCCTAGGGATAGTGGTTCTGCCTATGGTAAATTTGGTTGTTACATAATCTTGTTGCTATCAAACAGCACTTCGGATTTAATATTTAACATGGATTCTATTAATTTCTTAAGCAAATGCTCCAAGCCCGTACTTGCCGTCCACACCTGGTGGGCAGCCACCAATGACGCCAAGTTCGGCATACTTGCCCGGTACTCCTGGTGGGCAACCAATGACACCTGAAAGTGGTGGTTTGGATATGATGTCACCAGTTGTAGGTAAATTATGTCCTTGCTTTTACCTTATCTCTATAAATAATTTGGTGTCAAATTTATTATGTCCTGAAATTTGCTTCTTTTGCAGGTGGGGACAATGAAGGCCCCTGGTTCCTCCCAGAAATTTTGGTCAATGTTCGTAGGGCTGGTGAAGATAGCTCGCTGGGTGTTATAAAAGATGTTCTGCCGGTATATACTCTTTTCGCTCGCCTTAGCTTTTTTTTTCTACATACATGTTTCCATTGCGATTTTAATTAGTAGAACTGCTAATAATTATGAATGGTTATCTTTGAATTAAGTCGAACAATCGAGGATTCTTTTTTTTTTTCTTGGTCAAATGTTGTTGTATATAAGTTTTAAATTGTTTTCTCCTTATAAGGAGGTAGAATGAAGTCCTTAACCTGTGAACAAACTTTTCTTTTTAACGTCTCTGGAAGAGCAAATAATAAAATTTACTGAAATATCCTTTTCGTCGTCTGTTAGGATGGGTCGTGCAGAGTAGGCTTGGGATCGAGCGGTAATGGTGAGATGGTCACAGTCCTTCCTAGTGAAATCGAGGTGATGCCTCCGAGAAAGGCAGAGAAAATCAATATCATGGGCAGTGCACACCGTGGGGCCACCGGTAAGCTCATCGGTATAGACGAGACAGATGGAATTGTGAAAGTTGACGACACTCTTGATGTCAAAATCTTGGACATGGTTATATATATTGGCAAAGCTTGTGCAGACATGATTTGGCAAGGCCCTCCTTAAAAGCTTGAGTTGACTTCTGGCAGATTGCTACTCGACAAACCTCGTTTCTATGCTCGTGAAAAACGTGCGGTGTTTACTGTTGTGTGGTAACCATGGATTTTCTTCTCGGGCAAGAATTTCAGCATAATCGTGGGAGGAGTTAAGTTCGTGATGTAATAATATTTTATATATTATTCAATTATTGTGGACCATATAATTAATTAGACCTAATTGAATTAATAGTCAAACTTAATTAAGGTGAATATATATTGAATAGATTATTAATGTTCTAATATTAAAGAGTCCAATTTGTGATGTTTGACTTGGACAGTAAGTTAGGTTAGAACATGGAGAATGTTAGTAGGAATAGGATTGTAGGTCTCCTCCTATATATATTACTACATGCCCCTCACTCCCATCTCATACGAAATAAAGTTCTCAACATCAAGGGCTTTGTGAAAAGACGAGAGACGCGGGAGAGAGAAACAATTCATAGGCAAAGAAGAATCCATTGTTGGAGATTACGAGACGAATCCATCATTCAAGTTTACGAGAAAGATGATAGTACATCAACATCATAGATGAACATGGAAGGACTATAGTTGGATTCTTGTAAGTTTTATGTGGAATTTAATTAATGCAAAGATCCATATTCTATGAATTGATAGAATTACATGTTTAGGGTTTATTCAATTCCGCTTAGTTATGGATATACCCGTCAAATATCTTACATGTGGTGTCAGAGCATGTGTTTTGCATGATTATGTTGCCAATTAAGGTTTTAACATTTACTGTGGTGAATCATTACTGTCGATTGGAGTTTGTGTTTGCTGCGGCAGATATATATATATATATATATATATATATATATATATATATATATAGGGTTGCGCTCACATGAGAATGGGTCTTAGTGAAAGAAGTGAGAACAAATTTCAGCCATAGGATTAAATGATCCAACAGTTTAAAAAAAGTCAAAATTATACCTTCATTAAGGGTATTATTGTATTTTTCCTACACCACATTCAAAAAGGTGGGATCCACTCCACATTATACACATGCCAACTACCTATCAACTGCCACCTAAATCCGTCATAAAAATTAATCATAAACTATGCAGTGGGTCCCACGCTAATACACAACATTCATCTGCACATTCTCTCTCACGCTTAATACAGAACATTCACTGCACCATCTCTCTCACCCCGTCACTGCAACTCCCGACGGCGGACAGCAGCTCCGTCAACAACCGAACCACCACTCGTCGCCGCTCTCGATGGGACCAAACCACACACTGCTGGCGGACACACACATTGCTGCCGGCGGTCACACAGACGCAGCACAAATTCTGTGCCTTAACCTCCGTCACGCCTCTGCCGTCACGCCACCGCCGCGTCCTAACTGCCGTCGAACATCACATGAAAATCGCATCTGGTTCCTCCGCCGTCGCCGCGTCTTCTTTGGCCGTCACTATTCGTCTCCGGCGACCTTCCATTGCTGGCCAACTGTCGCATCGTCTCAACGGACACCCTCCGTCGACGACCCAACTCATCTCCGACGACCTCTACCGTTTGTTTGGAAGAGCTGCAGAAAGCATTAGGCAATGCCCTCGCCGGATGGTCCCCCTCCGTCAGCAGATCGCGAGGTCGCCGGCTACAAGAGTAAATGGCGATGATTCAAGAGGATGCTGAGATGAGTTTATGAATGGTAGGTTTTGGGGCTTTATTTTGAGAATTAGAACATTTGTAGGGACTTAGTTGTGAATTGAACAATTTTGTTTAAATTTCAATTTAACCCATAGGTCAAAATTGTAATTTATAAAAAGTAGATAAAAGTATACTATTTTTATATATATTTTAAATAAAAAATGATAAGAAAATAATATTAAATCAAATAAGATAAACTAGTTAATACTCGAACACATTGCACATTATTAACTGGCGGGTTGCACTCTTGTGTTAGTGAGATTGCACGTTAGCCTAACAAATGCACGTTGTAGTTAATTGGATTAATAATGTAACATATTAAATGCAAAAATTATAAATACAAAATATATTTTTATTACATAAATAATTAAATAAATGCACAATAATTTTAATTAAAATACATATTATTAAAATATTTTAAAATTGAAATGCACAGGAAAGATATATTTGAAATTCTTGGAACCGTTAACATCAAATTAACTACTAAATTTTAAATAAATAAAGGACAAAAAGAGGAGGGCATCATAAGTACAACCCACACGTTTATTAGAATAGTTATTGTATCCTTAAACAATATATTTGGCAATGAGTTTTTTAATATATTATAAAATTATCAAAAAATATAAATATATTAAGTGAAATATTGTTTTTTATATATTTTTAATATTATAAAATAAAATTATACTTTTACAATAATAAATAATAAATTATTCTTTTATAAAAATATTATAATAATAAATAACAATAATTTTTATAATATAAAAATTATTAATATAATAAATATATTTTTATCATAATAAAGAATAAATTATTTCAGTTATTTACGTTAATTCAATGTGCAATTATGTCTACTAAATCTAGTTTACAATTTTTCATACATAATTTATATGTGATCATATAAAGCAGTGCACTTTATATATCAGTACGATGCACTTTGTAAAACAATACGTTTCACATTATAAAACAACACATTGCACTTTATCACCACACTCCACAATTAGTGCCAAAACTAAAAATAAAACATTAAATATAAACGTTGAAAATAAATATAATTTTATAATATAAATAATAAATCATATATATAATTTATATGTGATCATATAAAACAGTGCAATCTATATATCAGTAAGATGCACTTTGTAAAACGATACGGTGCACATTATAAAACAACACGTTGCACTTTATCACCATACTCTACAAATTAATGCAAAAACAAAAAATAAAACATTAAATATAAACATTGAAAACTAAATGTAATTTTATAATATATATAATAAATTTTTGCAATCAGATTCATGTTATTGTTATACAAATTACATTTTTATGACTATCGGTGTGGACATTTTGGTTTTATTATTTGTTTATACTTTCAAATCACCATTATTTCGAGTTCTATGTCATCTTCACTTTTTAAAAAATTACATAAGTAGCCAAACTGACCGAACAATGTGGAAAATATTATTATTTTTTAAATGGTTATATATAGCGAGCACATTAGTGTTGTATAAATTGCACATTAGTGACTATTGGATTGCACAATACCGAGCGGAACTGGTAGACTAAAATTTTCAGTTCAAATATTAATTTTTTTGGTTTGATTGTATGTCTTTACTGTTAAAAGCTCGGTTATTTAGTGTAATAATATAATAATATGATAATATTAAATACAATTATCAAGATATTAAATATATATTTAATATTAACTATATATTTAATAAAAAATAAGAAATAATTTTTATTAGGGTAATTCAATCGATCAAAAAATCAAGTGATTTGGTTGAGTTTCAATTTGGTCAGGGACATAGGTTTGGGCACACAATATCGATGGAACTCGTTCACCAAAGTGCTAAATACATTATATATCAATGAATAATAGATTGCACAATAGCGACAAAAGTAAAAAAAAAAAAAAAAGGCAGAAAAAAATCCTAAAATACGATTATTTTAATCTGATGTCGAATTTATTTTACTATATTATTTTTTTAACTGAAATGACAAAACTGAACAATATAAAAATAATATTATTATTATATTTTGTTTAAGTAAAAAATATTATTTATTTTTAGATTAAAAATAATAAAATATTACATGTTAAACAGTTAAAGTACTATTAGATTTCAATTAATTATAGGTTTGATCCTTGAACTCAATTGTAATATAAAAAAGTTTAAAAAATTGCGATTAAGTCCTTCCACTCTATCAAATTCTCAAATTCAAGCCCAACTCCAAGTGAACTCCCTCCCACACCCATCCTCCGCCAGCGTCCAACAACCCCCAACAGACCGACGACCGTCCGTCCACCACCGTACCACCATCCACCGCCGCCCTCTAATATGCCGCCTCCACTATCTTTCAGATCTAGTCCGATCTCTTCAGTTTCCGGCGACGTCGAGCACGGCGACTGAAATTGACGGCAGATGTCGCGCCATTTCTCAACGGGAGCCTTCAGTTCAGGAGTGCCGGAAAGTGGAAGCGCGGCTCCCGTCTGTTAAGACGCCGATGATGGTGGTTGCTGAAAGCGGTGCCGGTCTGGAGTGTTTGCAGTGGTGGTGGTGGAGAACTTTCGGCTGTGGATGGTCGGAGGATGAGAAGATCCGACTGCCAGAGATTCGTCGCGGCTTGGCTCGTTGCTGTGGGAGGCGGATGGAGGCGGACGGCGGACGGCGGTAGCAGGTGGTGGCGGATGTGTGTTTTTGTGTGTGTGCAGGTTTGTGCGTATGAGTTGGGAGAGAAATAGACTGTGTGTTTGTG